ATCTCACCCACTTTTTATTGCACATAACATTTTATTATGTAGTTACACTTGTAGCTTCTTATTAATCAAGTGATAAAATCTGACCTAAAACGATTTTGCCATTTGCGACGCTTATTTTTTACTATTTAATTTTTTCAAAAAGTATCTATTGTACAATGCAAATTACAAGATAAATATACATATTCTTACATTTTTAAATCCATTTCCGATATTAGTAGTTTATAAGTTCCGAGATTATAGTGAATTCTTTAATTCTTTCTAATAAAAATACCAATCAAAAAATTGGCTATTTTTAAAAATTTAGGAAATTTTGGAAAAAAATTAGCATATTTTGAAAAATGACGTTTTTTGTAAAATTAAGTACAAATATAAATTTTTCCCTAATGACTAAAGCAAAATTCGACTGTATAACTTTTTTCTTTGACAAAGTCTTTCCTTTTGAAAGATGTGTAGTCAAAGCAGCGACTTTTGCAATTCTTAAAATGGGATAAATAAGAATTGAAGCAGTCAATGTTAACAGGAGGTATGTAACATTTTTAGAAAAATAAGTATTTTTTTTTCTTTTGTTTTTGTTTATTGAGTAATATCTAGTCTAGAAAATACCTAGTAATTTTCTAGACTGCCTAAAGAAGAAAACCCAACGATTTGGAAGCAATTAAAACAATCTTTCCACAAGTGACAAATTTTTTTGATTTTTCTCAAAAGTGCAGATTTGTAACATACCCCCTTTTAATATTGACAGCTTCAAAAAAAGTGACAGAATTGCGCATGATTTTTAAATTTTTTTTATTCATTTATTGAATACGCATTATTAAACTCCAAAAAATTTTAAAAGGGGAAAAAAGAAATAATAATTTTACTCATTTTTGTAAAAAAAATAAATAAATAAATAAATCTTATCATAATTACAGTTTAAATTTGAAATCAATTAGAGACGATTTGTTCGAGTAATAAGTTAAGCTGACTTGAAAAGTGTAGCTTTTACAAAAACACTTTTGAAGTCTTCTAGACGCACACAGCGTTGCAAACTGCGAGGCTGCATTAAAATTTAAAACTCGAGTCTTTTTTATATATTTTCTAATTGTAAACCTTTAAATACGTTATTTTTAGATATCAAAGCACTTTGCAAAAAAAAGAAGAAGAAAAAAATCCAAAATTGCAAAGTGGCCTAATCTTCCTAAGAATGAGAGTGGCATATGTCCCCTTATTACTGATAGTAAAATTGCGTAACAGTTACTAAGAGATTACTAATTTATCAAAAGATTTAATTCATGTGTAAAATACTAAATAAATGCCATGAAATTAGACTTGAAATTTTTGAGAAGATGGCATAATTTAACCTTATTTTTTTTTATCATGGCATATAAATTTATATTTATGAATGTTTATATTACATGGATCAGATTAGTAAGGATTAAGTACCACTCACTAAAATCACTGTCCCAGTTAGTTATTTTTTACTTAAAACACAAAGTCTATAAACCATAGCTGACAGTTTTAGGTCAAACATTACTGCATATAATTATCTGAAGTAAATTGCTTTTTTAATTTTATTACTCAACCTTATCTAGAGTGCCTAGACCAGAATAATGATTAATTAAAAACGACACCAGAACAAAGAATTATAGGCATAGCTGTAAACTTTACTAGATTTTACGAGTTTCTCCTGATCTACTGGTTTAACTGATCTACTGGACATCTTCTTGGTTTTTGCATTTTTTAGAAAATTCTCTGAAATTGAGAATATTCTAAGAAGAAAAAGGAGAAATCTCTATTAAAATAGATAGATTTTTATTCAGTTTATTGTTTGCTTGATTATTTAAATAAGTATTACAACTAAACACGAAAGTTAGCCTCATTTATACTTATTAATTTGAAGCAGACTTGTCTGGTTTAAATCATTGTGATTTAAATCATGATCTTTTTATAATACAAGCTTGGTTTTTTCTTAACAGAAAAAACTTAAACTTGGATTTTTTTCTATTATTTACATAAAACCTTATAGTTTAAATAAACCAAATGAAAAATAGCAAATTTTTCCATAAAATTTTTATAATAATAATAATAGCAATAATATATAAACCTTTTAAAAAATTTTAAAAGGTTTATATATTATTGCTCTTCTCCTAAAAGATAATTAAAATTAATTAATGTGAGTAAATTTAAAGTCTAGTTAAAATGTCTCCCAGAAATTCTTTAATACAGACCATCATCATTTCCATGTTTAGATAGTTTTTTTAAAATTATTCAAAAAATGCAATTTTAGAACAACCTAAGATCAAAAGTTTTTCTGTTTTTTAATCTTATTCATTATATACTTTTGATTGTAGCTAGCATAAATTTTATTGAGGTGCTTTTCTGCATTTTATATTTCAGTTTAGTTTTAAAATTTCTTTTTTTCATCAGGGTAAACAAATTGTTGTATATATGTTTTTATTGATTCTAATATATTCAAAAAGCAATGCTTATATAAAATTGTATATTTCAAAAATATTGTAAAATATTCAAAATTCATTTTGATCTCTGCTCTCGGGGTAAGACTGATAATCCCTTAATGTGTGTTTATGCTGGGCCCATGAAATCTGCAGTGCAGCAGAGGAAGAAGACTACTACATCCGAGGCTGAACAAAAGTTTTATGGGCCCTGGGACAAAATTTATTGCTATTGTGCATCTTCAAAGCACAGAAAGTCTCATTTTTATAATTTGTAGAATTTTGTAAGACCTTCTATACAAAATTGTAATTTTTATGTATGTATAACGAAATACGCTGTAGTTTTCTTTAAAAAATAACTAATCAATAAGGACTATATTTTTTGAAAGGAATTTAGGTCAGGTTCTAAACAATTACGGGTGCAAATTGTCCCCCCCCTTCCCTCCTTGAGTACGGGCTTGACTACATCACATGTAAATTACATACATAATTTTTTTTTAATAAATTGTCTAATAAAATAGAAATATCTGCTAATTTTTCACTGATTCCAGTATTTCTAAATTTTCTATGCAGTTAATATGTGCATCAAGTTTTACCTCATAAGGGCGTAATTTGACTTTTTCTATAAAAAAAAAGGTTCATTAATAGAAAAAGTAGTACATTAATGACTTTTCAGGACTGATGTATTGTACTCAACTAAACATTGAATATCTTGATTAAATCTGACAGTTTTTAAATTGAACAGTTTAGTTCCAACAGACTGAATCTTATCTACCCCCTGGTGCATATTATAAAATACTTTAAATTATCTGTGTCTAAAATATTTAGTATATTATGCAAAATTAATATTTTGTAAAATCTACTGGATTTTTTTTCCTCTTCATGCTGACAACTATGTGAGGGAACTTTTTATCCAATTGCCTATTTTTTTCTTTGTTAATTTTGTTCTAATAATTAAGCTTTTATGTACTAAGTAAGATAAATCAGTTGCTTTTTCTATATTTTCTGAAATTTTTTGCATTGGCAATATTTTCTAAAGCTGATGCTCTTAATTTCACAAAAATGTCACTTAGAACCTTTTATCTAGTAAAACAGAACCTTTTTTGGAAGAGGAAATTCTTTTTTCTATTAAGCCACATGAAATTTAGTTTTTATATGAATTGATAATAACTTAATTATTCCTAAATGTAATAAGAACAATATCAATTTATTTTGATTAAAAATATTATACATGTTCTTAAAGTTTTAAAAAACATTTGAAATTTTGCACTCTTTGTCTTATTTAATGAAATTAAAATATAGCTAATTTTCAATGTTTTCTGTGGAAAAATTAATTTTAAAATTCATTGAAATTAGTTGGATTCCTCAAACTTTGAAGATTAACAATTAATACTTGAAAATCCAATCACTATATTGAATGCTGTAAAGGAAGTTTCATAGGTAATAGAATGAATTAAAACCTTATTCCTATTGGTATTACACGAATTTGTTGTTGTAGTTAATTTACGTCACCCTAGAGCTGCATAATGGGCTATTGGCGACGGTCTGGGAAACATCCCTGAGGATGATCCGAAGACAAGCAATCACAATGTTGACCTTCTGCACAGGGGATAGCACCCCCGCTTTGGTAGCCCAATGACCTGCATGCGAAGTCGAGCACTTTACGGTAGAACAGTTTAACGAGGACCCATACCATACACCCTCGGTCCCTACGCAAACTGATCTAAGTGGTCTCCCTCCCGCACACTGACCGCAGCCAGTGATGCTTAACTTCAGTGATCTTCTGGGAACCTCACACGAATTTGTATGTAGGTATTATTATGTTTATTTAAAGAGATAGTTTTTTTTAATATGACTTTTAAAATGTGTTGTGCGTTTTACCCAGGGATCTCATCATATCTCTTTAACAGTTCTGATAAATTTTGATCATTAATTTAAATCAGTCATCAGTATATCTATGTATTTAATCGTGGTAGTAAATTTGCGTTATTGCTAGCTTGAATTGCCTTAAGATACCATTAGAGGTCTGCCATTCTTTAACAGATCTGGTAGGGCACAATTCTCATTCAGATTTTTTTTCTTTACAAAGTAACAAATTGAATTTACAAATGTTATTTTAAACTATCAGTATTGTAATAAAAATTAACACTATCAGTATGTGTATATAAATATATATATATATATTTATATATATATACAGGGTGATTCTAAAAAGATGGGCAATATTTTAGGAAGTGATGGTACACACCCAAGCAAACAATTTTTATCAAAGAATGNTACTTCACCACCAGCATCATATGAAAAAGCTCCTCCTATTTATTTATTATGATATATATATATATATATATATATATATATATTTGAAAAATAAGAGAACCTTGTACGACGGTCTCACTACGATCTGTGAAAATGAATGTCTTCTCATGTGAAACTTTTATCAAACTACATTATAGACACATTAATTTGAAAACTCTTTTTTTTTTTTTTTTTTTGCTTGCATTTTGAAATTTTTATGCAAATATTCTGAAAATGTTCAGTTGTTTTATTAGACTATTGTTTATATTTTAGGTCTTTAGACGGGAGATTACAAGTATCTACTAAGAAAGGACTTCCTCATGTAATTTATTGTCGCCTTTGGAGGTGGCCTGATTTACAAAGTCATCACGAATTAAGAGCAATCGATTCCTGTGAATACGCGTTTAATCTTAAAAGGGGAGAAGTTTGTGTAAACCCATATCACTACCTTCGTGTTGAAACACCAGGTAAACGCTTTCCAAATTTCAGCCATTTTATCAAAATTTCACCGGGGAAAATATTTACTTTTATTTAGACCATAGCTTATACAATGAAGTGTGTAGTCTAAACTTTTTTTTTCTTTTTCATTATTAACTTTCATTTAATTGATGTGCTTGATTTATATGCATATGTGTGTAGTTTATTTTATTTTAACTCTTTATATGCATAATGTATAGAACATTCAAGAATGAAGTTAACTTAATATTTGTATGTATAAATATTACTTCAAAACTTAATGATAAGCAACTTAATTTGTGGTGGTAAATCATTATATTGTTAAGTGTGAAATGTTGTTAATTTTTAGAGGTAAATCATTGTTTCAGCTAGTAAAAAGTTAGATGCCTTATATTTCTAATCACTTTGAATAGTTTTTCTTTATAACTATCATCAGATTTTGGACTTCCCTTTGGTTTTACATGAAGTGTTTGGAAAGTAATGATACCAATTTTATTATGAAACCTAAACATGTTCCAAGCATCCTCAGACTGGTTGTAATCAGTTAAGAGAATGTACTGGTTGCTCATTGGTCTCTGTTCATCTAGAGAATAAGAACAGGCCTTTTCTTTTGTGCAAGGTGAATTGTCAGCAAGTTTTTTGTTAAACACTGCAAGTTTTATTGTGGAAATTTTTTTCAAGGTGGCTTTTAATGATTGATACTTGTGTTCTTAGAAAGCCAAATATACCAGTGTCATAAAAATGTTTTTAAAACTGTAAAGAGATCAGCAACAATGTTTGCACTGAAAAGCCATCATAAACCACCATAGACTTAAGTGCGATAATTTCCGAACTAAATCTTTGGAGTTTACTCCAATTTCATTTCACACACCATGTTTCAGACAGAAAAGGGCGGATGTTATGTTTGGGCCCAGTTGTTGCATTTATTAAAACAGCTATAATGTCTGCAATCAAAAATGTATTAATTTTTAAAAAAATTAACTATCTTGGTTCTTGCTTCTGGCTCTCAAATTCATATAATTTATAGTTGAGGGGCGCAAAGCAAGAACAGGGTTAATCAGACTTTTCCACACAAAAAATAAAATAAATAAATAGTGTACTTTTAACGACGGGCATTGTACTGTTTATCTAAGATAGGTACTCTGCCAGACATTCGTCTGGAGCTGTGGTGGTGACTATGGTAACGAGGTATGATTATTTTAAGTAGGGGTGTGTGGTCCCTGTTTAGGACTGGTTTCGTCGAGAGAAAAAGAGACCTCTTCATCGAAGCTACCCTCCCTAAAATGCCTTTTTCTTGTTTCCATAGCACCAGACTGCCGCAGGCTTAGTGGCGGTCAGAGTACCTATCTTAGACTAACAGTAACTGATTTGATAACTTCTAGAACTGAACCCAAATGTAATATCATTCTTCTATTTGGGAAATAAATATTCTAAAACCTAATTGGAGTACATGACACTGTTTGACTCTTGAGTAGCTTGAACATGCAGTATGTCAATGGTTTCCGAAATTTCGAACTGAAGATTTTAATTTTCACCATGGACGACTTTTAAAGTCTTTGGGTGAGATACAAAAAGTAGGTTGAATAATTGAGTTGGAGACTACAGTGAAAATAAACTCATCTCAAGCTTTCGGTGAATTAGTAGCAATATTTGAAATTACCTTTCCCATCTTAAAAACCATTTGGAACAAATCAGTAAGATTCTGAATCTAAATAAATGGATTCTGCATCAATTAAACAAGTCTAAGAAAAAAAACATGGCAAAGGTTGCATTTCTTGCTTTTCACGACAAAATCGAACCATTATTTAAAAGGCCATAACGAATTTTGAAGCCTACTTTATTCGTCAAAAAATTTATTGTTGTCTATTTACTGTTTCAAAGTTGTTTTATAATACAGCTTCATTAGATAGAGAGGTGTGTTCACTATAAACTAATTAGGCAGAATGAAGCAAGAGCTGTCGGGATTAGTAAATTAAGATCTCCTTTGAGGGCAATGCTCTACTACAGCGGTCGATTGTAGTTTATGTCCTACCCTACTAAAGGGTGGTTGGTAAATTGTTTACTTCTGCAAAACAATCATAACAAGCAAGATTTTTGGTTCGATAGTTAGTCTAATTTCCTGCTTTACCTCTGACGTGAAGTAAATCACATTAATTGAATATTATTACTTTTATTATAATTATTATGTTAACCTTTAATCATTATCATCATTTAAAAATATACGTTATGCTCCTTTGAAAACTTTCCACCTTGAATAAATTTTTAATTGGTACAGTTTTTAAAAATTGCTCAAATATGTGAATTTTGATTTAGAGGGAGACATTTAAAAATGCACTGTAATCAAATAGAAAAGCTCCCTAATAAAGAAAAATGAGGTGGTAGCCTTCGAGATTATATATTGTTTGTTTGGTGGATCATACATGTGTATGGATGACATTGAAATCACTATCACTATTTTAATCACCTATCACATTCTTCTGATCTCACAACAGCTTGTAACTATCTCTTCAAAATATTCAAAAGCACATAAGTACCGTTTGTATCTGTTTTTACTTAACACTATGTTGTTTTAAATTTAAGGGACTTATTTTATCATTGTAATTATGTAAGCAGCATCTAATAAGAATACTAAGAAATATCTTATAAGAACTCTAAGTACCTAGTATCTTAAGCAATATCTAAATAAAAACTTGAATCGATGTTTCCATATTGTTAAGGAATATACAACTTTGCCAGAAATCAAATCAACCATCTGAGAGTTAACATCCAATATTTTGGACAACATTTGGTTTAATATTATCTCTTAAAAAAATATTTTATGATTTATTTTTCTGTTTGTATACTTTTACAAAGCTATTGTCTATGTAAGAATAAAATTGTTTTGCTGATATGAACATTTTTGAAGTTTTTATTTACAGTGAAAACTTATAAGAAAGGTAAATTCGATTAAAGCAACCTCTCAGGCAGTTTTATGCAGGCACACCATACAAATAACTTTTGAGCCAGGTGAATTTTGTTTCATGACCAAAATGTCATGAAATTCTCGATAAATACCATCCTATAATATTTATTTAAAAAAATGCTGTAATTTAAAATATTATCATTTTTAAGCAATAATTAGAAAAATTAAGTTTAATGTAAATTTTTTTTCAATGAGTTCATTTATTAGTTTACTTTCTTCTAAGCTACATATTTTTAGGTCCAAATTGCATTTACTGCAATTATTTAAAGCTCAGGTCTCAGGAGGATATGCTATTATTGACGTAGGTAGAAGTTTTATAATTATGCTCAAAATTTAGAAGATAAAAAATACAACTTTTTCTATTGTGTAACTATTTCACCAATTACATTCAAATGTTTATTTATTTATTTTTTTGAATTACATAATCTAATATAAGATGCAAAAATTTGCATGTCTCACAATTAAAAAATATTTTGATCATTAATTTATTTGTAATTTTCGAAAAAAATAAGTAATTATTTAAAAAATTTTTTTTCATGGAATTGTCTTCTTAATAATGTATTTTATAACTAAATGCAAAAAGCTTTCGACTCACTTAAAAAATTCCTGGGATATGACGGAACACAAAAAAGTGAATTTTATATATTGTGATTAAAAATACAAAAGAAATTATTCAGAAATCACGAACCTTTGAAAAATTGTTTATTCTAAAACCACGAGTATTTTTTTTCTCAATTTAACTACTATATATTAATTCAAAAATGTTGTGATCAGATTCATTTATGATAACAAAAGACAGTACAATGCCATCTGCGGCAAGGTAACAAATTCCAATATGTAACAAAAGTTTTACCAATGCAATATATTAGTTTTCTCTTATTCTATTTATTAACTTTGGTTTCTCAAAAATCGAATTAAGCATTCATTTTAAATTTTTTAGGGTATTATTACGGATTACAAATTTCAATTTGCATGATTTCATTGTATGCTCACCTTGTTTTCTTATCGCTTCTTCTGCAGTTGTTGTGTTGTATTTCCAGTTGAACCTGCGAATTTTAAATTGTGCATTTTAGTAGTAATTTTTAATTCTTTCGATTTATGCAATTTCATCATAAATCCATGTGGTTTTGACAGTTGCTTTAGTGGCAGTGTTTACTACAGATTTCAATGTGCTTTTTAAAATCGTCAACTTTTAAATACAATGTTATTAGATTAGGTGATGTTTATTAAATTTTGAAACAAACAAACTTTTCAAAATGTGAGAATCATAGAATGAAATTTTTATTTTTATAAATTTTTATTCATCTCTATTTAAATCATTTTATTTCAAATACAAATGTTAAGTACTTTAATGTCTATCTCAGCAATGACATATTTTTTATTTTTTTACATAAAATATACCGGGTGTTCTGTAATGATTGCCCATAATATGTATTTCTAGAATTCTTATTAAAAATTAAAACAAGAGTTTTCTCATTCAGGTCCACGAATTAAAGTTTTAACAAGAAAAAAAATAGACAAATCGCAGTAGAAGGTGAATGTAATAAATACCAAAATAGGTTTAATTGAATGCTGAATCTTGAAGGTGTTTCTAAAAATCGACTGTTAACTCCTTTCTGTTTAAACACACAATCAAACCTGTGTTGTTTATTTACATTTGCTTTCTAGTACTGTGATTTGCCAGATTTTGAAAGGATTTTTGTTTCTTCCTTGCTTTAATATCAATTTGCTTTCCCCCTATGTGAGGATTTTTTTTGTTTTCTATTGATTCTAAAAATTCAAATTAAGGGTGCTTTTTATGTAACATCCTATATATTATCTTTATGGGTGAACAAATTTTTATGATTTGTTATATACATATGCATCAGGAAGAATTTTCTGAGAAAATCTAAAAAAAAAGACCTATTTTCTTTTAAGGATATATGTCTGAATCGCATAAACTGGTTGGTAATTTTTTTCTCTCAAAACAAGTTTTAACATTAAAAAAGTGGTCCACTGATATTACTTACCCAAAATTTGTTGCAAAAAGTAACTAATTTATCAGTAATGTTGCTACACATATAATTTCTATGTATCTTATTATGGTTAATAGAAAATTTTGATATTAAATATATTAAATAAATTTTATTGAGAGTTTAAAATGTTTTTATCTTGTTCAGATATTCTGTATGATCATGATAATTTATACTGCATTAAGAAGTAGTTCTGCTAAGTTGCATGAAAGTTGTGTTCCTAAATTCAAACAATTAATTATTATTTTTTATTTACAGTGTTGCCCACAATTTTTGTTCCAAGGAACACAGGGGAAGTACCAACCTCACTTCCCCCACTGGACGATTTTATTAATTCTGTACCAGAGAACACGGAATTCTCAGCAGGGCTGGAAAATCGAACTTTCCCTTTGACGGGTATGAAGTATATTGCTTATCTCTTATGCTTAACAACATTCATTTACAGTAATTTCAATGTCTTTAAACCATAGGTTCTCAACCTTTTTTGAATTACTGCCCACTCTGCAAGTCAAAAAATTGTCAATGATCCATACCAAAAAAAATCATAATTATGAATAGGGGAGTGGTATGAAACCGAGTTCTTGACTTTGGTGAAATTAGTTGTTTGTTTGCAAACAGACTTTGAATTACATTCTATTGGGCAAAAAGGAGCTGGAGATATATTGGTGTCTTGTTGTTGAGTTCATGGTGTCTGTAGATAAGTTTGTTCTACTGTGTCAACTCTTTAATGTTCTTCTATTTTTAAGCTATTCTTATTTATTAGTAATACACATATAAAATACATATAAAAATTTCGCTGACACAGTTATGCTTTAACAAAGATTCATACTCTTACAAAAAATAAGGATTCCAGTTAAAGTATGGTTCTGTTTCATTGGAGTAAAACCGTGTACTACCATCACCATATAAAGCAAATTTAAAATATAAGGATGGGGGGAAAAAAAGAACTGTTAAAAAAATGTGCTATCAATGAAGAGAAAGTTGTTCTGCAGTAACTCTTAGAAAAAATTCAGTAACAGTAGAGCAATACAAATGTTGGCTTTTTTTGATATATCACATTTTATTAAAATAACAGATGGAATTTATCTCAAGCTGTGGATTTTATTAGGAGAATAATAGTTGTAGTACTTCTAAAAAATGCAAAGATTTATTTTTCTGAATGTTAATCTGTTCCTTGTAAGAATTCTTTCCTTTTTTTTATACTTAAATTGTGGCAGCAGTTTAATTTTATAAAAGTAATATGTTTTTTAATTCTCATAAATGAAATACATTATTTCATTCCCATTAATATCCTTTATTTAATGGAATTAAAAAATGTGTTGTGATGTGTAACCAGCTAGTAAATTAATTTCAAATAACACTATTTTTAAAATGAATCTAATTAAAACAAGTCACAAACATTATATAAAACAAATAAAAAAAATATATTATAAAGAATGAAATAAAGAAAAATTTACTTTTGGGAGGGCAAGGAGAAAAGTCATCTTTACTCTGAAGTCCAGAAACTGGAACTGTCGTTCGAAAGTTTTCTCTCTCGTTGATTACCAGGGTCACTACTGATAATTCAGGCTTAGTTTTTAGCTGGTTAGTTACATAAGTAATATGCTAAAATATAAAAGTATCTACAAATATAATTTCTGTTTCTCTGTTACAGCACTATCTTTTTAATTATAATTATTTAAATAGGGCCCTATAAATTATGCGGAAATTTTTTAAAAATTATGCGGCTAGGATGCGGCGATTTTTAAAAATTATGCGGCAAGGATGCGGTGTCTTTTAAAAATTATGCATGCAGGTTGTGAATGACCCAGAAAACAATTGAAACTGAAAAATAAAATCTCTTAAAAAAGTTCAACTTTCTTTCCTGCTTTAATAAAATTTTTTTTCAATGAATACAATAAAAATTTCAACTAAATTACCTTCTTATGTATTGTACATCTATTTTCTACATCAGAACAATTATTAAAGTTTATTAAAATGAGAGAAGTTAGTCCAGNGTAATATGCTAAAATATAAAAGTATCTACAAATATAATTTCTGTTTCTCTGTTACAGCACTATCTTTTTAATTATAATTATTTAAAGTATTTCTTTTATTAATTATAAATACATATATGTTGTTTCTAAGGTCTCATATTAAATGTATCCAGGTTGTCACAAATTTTTTTATGTGTTTTTAATGAATTATTGCCAGTTTTTCATCCATATTTCTTAGTCTATTACAATAAAGTTGCCCAATAGTAATTATTAATCGTGTGATTAGGTAGGCAGCATTTAAGTATGTTATTAACAAAATAGATTCATATTAGTTAAGTGTTAAATTAATACTAAGATTTAGATCACCGTATTTCTTTAAATTTATATATTTATTTTTACTTTCATATTTAGACAACATATTCCTTCACTCTCTCCAATATTAAATTTACTTCTCTGAAGCACATCAAAGAACATTTTCGTTTCTTAAAAACGTCTTTATCATATTTTTACTTATAGCTAAATATCCTAATATAAAGTTTCCTCTTTATATAAAATTTATGTGTACTTAAATTTAATGTCTTAATGCTTATTTTTAGAGACACCCCCACCTGGCTACATGAGTGAGGACGGGGATAGTCAAGAACAAAATGGCACGGAAAATATGGGTGACTGTTCTATTATGCTCTGTATAATCAGCAAAAATATACATATACTTATATATGTATGTACATTGGTTTGAGTAAAAAGTCATTGCATTTTTTTTTATTGCAACAGATTACAGTAGTACAGTTTCTGAAATACTTAAAGCATTTTCAAAACAAAATGAGCTTTTTTGTTAAGTTGTGGAGATTTTACAGAAGATTGAACATGGAGGACCAAACTGTTCATTTTTGCCACATTTTACTGTTTTACTTCCGTAAAGGGAGAAACGTGCTTGTGCTTGTGAAAATTTGCATAAAGTTTGCAGTGATGATGCTCTACAAGATTGTCATTCCAAAAACTGGTTCAACAAATTCCATGCTGATGATTTTGATTTGAAAGATGTTTGTCGATCAGGAAGCTTACCCAGATTGATGGCAAACAAAAAAGACGTTGATTCAGACAATTCCTTGTAGATTCATTGAAAATTAGTCAAAAAAGTGTTCACATGAATCTAAAAAAAATGGGAAACGTAAGCAAACTCCATATTTGAGTTCCTCAGGAACTCAAAGAAGTTCAATTGATGCTGCGAATAAACGTTGGCTATATGCTCATGAAATGCAAAGAAAAGTATTTTTTTAAATGAATGATAACTGGGGATGAGAAGTGGATTGTTTTTTACAACAATGTGGTGCGCAAACGGCTTTGGTCCAGAGGTGATGAATCCCTGTCAATGACTTCAAAAGCAGAACTTAATTAAAGGATGGTTATGCTCTCAGTGCAGATTAAAAGTGTTTTTATTTATTTTGTTAAAAAGCTCCAACGAAGGAATGATAGAATCAATTCAGATATGTACTAAAGGCAATTTGACAGTTTGAATGAAACTGTCATCCAGAAATGTCTGGATCTCATGGATTGTGAAGGAGGAGTGTTCATTCATGACCACATGAGATCACACACATCTTTGGCAAATTGTCAAAGATTATAGGAGCTTGGGTGGCTTGTGTTGCTCCTCCCAACATATTCTTTTGACATTGTGTTGTCAGACGTCAAATTGTTTTAACCTCTTAAACTCCTCGTGTGGAATAACATTGAATTCAGAGGGAGCTGTAAATCAGCACTTTGTTCAGTTTTTCCCAAATGAAGACAGGTCTTTCTACAAACCAGGAATTATGAAACTCGCTGAATGTAACTGTAAAACTGTAAACTGTAAAAGGTCACTGAACAAAAGAGAAAGTGTATACACATATCATTGATTATTCCTTTAACCTTTTTATAACACCTCTAACTTTTTTATTTGGATTTGAAAAATATAGAGAAAAACAAGACTTTTTACTCTACCCTATATATATATATATATATATATAGACAATTC